TTTCAGACAAAGTCTCCTCTGTTGTTTTTCAGCACACATAACGTTGTTATTACATTGACTCTGATATGTCGCCATGTTGCATTCGCTCGGTGTAGGCGCTGCACCTTGGCCTTTCTGTGGGATGGAAAACCCTGATATCAGACTGTGATGACTGAGTCTGATCCACACCTGACTGATGTTTGTCTGTACTCTTCCTGCAGGGGGCAGCATTCTGAGCACTCGCTGCTCTGAGACATACCAGACGAAGGCTGTTCTGCTCAGCCTGTTTGGAGTTCCCCTCTGGTATTTCTCTCAGTCTCCTCGAGCTGTGATCCAGGTAACACATCTGTCACACACAACACAGCTGTTTTCCATTGTGAGTCCAGTGGGTTCTGACAGTGTCGGTGCATTTATTCAGCATTTTCCCTTTTAATGTGGTGGTGTTGTAGTATCACCATTTCAGGTTCATTCACATCCATTTAATCCCAGTGGTGGAAGAAGTACTGCATTTCCTGACTTCATTAAAGCTACCAGTACTGCAAAGCAAAAATACTCTGAAAAGTAAAGGTTCTGCATTTATAAACCTATTTCTGTCAAAATACAAAGGTGTGGCTTTGAGTAAAGTATCACTGTGAAAGAACACATGTATTTTCAGCTTCACATAGGAAATATCGGAATATAAATACTGCATGTGTGATGACTGTTGCCTAGTTCTGACAGGATTGGATTATTGATCCTGAGTTATCAAAGCTGAAGTCTTTTCACTGGGTTTGTTGACAAAAAATTAAAAGAATTTAGTCAGGTTCTCTGTCATTGGTCTAATAAACACTAAAAGAGCTCATCCCCAACTTTGTACAATGTTTGTTTCCAAATATACATTTTTGTACACAACTTCACATAAAAAAAAGAATAGTAGTAGTCATCACAAGTGAAGTATAACAGTGAGAGAACCCAGCAGAAGCTCCACTCATGCTCCTCTGACCTGCTATTTCTGCAGCCAAACGTCCATCCAGGAAACTGCTGGGCCTTCAGAGGCTCCACAGGCTTCCTGGGGATCCGCTTGTCCTTGAGGATCCTGCCCACCGCCTTCTCCCTGGAGCACATCCCCAAAGCCCTGGCTCCCAACGGGGCACTGCTCAGCGCCCCCCGAGACTTCAGCGTCTATGTAAGAGAGTCCCTACCATCATCAGCGACCTGTTGGGGAGGTGCTATTTGGATGTTTTGTTTTCTACTGAGTGAGTGGTTTTCTGTTGTAAGGGTCTGGATGATGAGAGCCAGGAGAGAGGGCAGCTGCTGGGTACGTACACCTACAAGGAGGATGGAGAGGCTCTGCAGACCTTCTCAGTCACTGTGAGTAATGACTGTTCATCTACATTCACAGAGCACTTCATTAGGAACGCCTGCTTGTTATCCACTCAGCCAGTCAGGGGGCAGTTAGTCAGGAGTTTCAGTTCCTGTTCACATCAGAATGAGGAGCAAATGTGATGTCACCAACTTTGACCGGCTGGTTTTCACACACAGCCCAGTCTCCAGGAGGAGGAAAAACAAACTGTTAAGTAGCAGTTCTGCACAAAGAAGCATCACAGTAAACATGTTGACAGGCTACAGCAGAAGACCACTTTGGTTTGGAGCTATACAAATAAAATTGAATTGAACTTCTACATCCTGTGTACTTTGGTTTTTGTCCTCCGCAGGAAGAGAACGACCGAGCCTTCCAGATCATCGAGGTGAAGGTGTTGTCCAACTGGGGCCAGCAGGAGTACACCTGCATGTACCGCTTCAGAGTGCACGGGACACCCAGTGACAAATGAGCACGCTGCAGAGTTGATGTTGGATCACAGTCAGGATGGAGACGACGGAGACAGACCTGGTTGCTGCAGCTTTGTCAGACATGTCAAGGTTTACATGGAATCGTCTGAGCTCCCTGCTTCAGTCACTCACTGCTAACTGCCTGACTCACCACAGACTGACTGACTCTGACTTGATTCTGTTGATCAGATGACAAACTCGCGTCCTTCCTTCCAGACCAAATGCAATCTGAGTGTTGTCTTTTCCTGTGGAGAAACAGCAGCTCTGGGTGTGAGGTTTCTGTTAATAGTTAATATTTTTATATCTGTTTTGTATATGCTGTGTTTAAAGGTCCTTGTTCTCAGTGGTTTTTCATGTTTTAGGCCATTTTTCTTTTAGCGCTTACATCATCACTGTGTGGTACTGCAGCTCTGAGTGGTTTTAAAGGACAGTTTGGGTCTTTTTTTGCTCTATCTTAATCCAGCACTGGCATTCCCAGGTGAATGTTAAACATTGTTCCTCATGCTGCGCAGAGGAACAATGTTAAACAGTTTAAATTGCTAAACAGCAGTATAGTGCAGTTTGATCATCAGATGTCCAACTGTCCATGAATGCACTGACAGAGGGTTTAAAATGGCTCCTGCTCACAGCTGCAGCCTGAACAGTGCTATTGTACTTCTGTCAAATGTTTGGTCACTAATCTCTTCGTATTCTGATGTTACATATCACAGAGAAATTAGAAAGAGGTAAATCAGAGAAAACATCATTTTGATTTGATGGGCTGCTGTAAATCTCCATGTTTATTGTTGTCTTCGGCTCAGTGGAAGAGGAGTTTTTGTTTTCATTAAGGATTCTTTGTGCTCGAACCACTTTTTTTTTATTTTTTTTTTTTTATGTTTTGTTATGTGATTTCAAGCTGGCCAAGTAATAAAGATGCTGAATACAATTTTCTATATCTTTAAGGAACACTATGGCATCTCAGCTGCAGGGAATATCTGCCAAGCTTCTTTTCTAACACTAGTAGTTGTATCTGTCACCAGGATTGTCTAGACCAGGGGTGCCAAACGTACAGCCCGCCAAGGGGTTCAATCTGGCAGGATAAATCTGAAAGTGGGAATTTCAGTGGATTTGTTCCACCTTTAATCAGAATTTGACTCCGGTACATCGGCTCTCAATTTGCACGTATATATCCCCATGCAAGGGGCACGTAAACAGTAAACCATCATAAGGCTGTGTAATATAACAAAGTAAGCAGTATTAACAAGCAACAAACAGTGCAAACAATGCAAAATAAGCAGTATAAACAGGCAGTAAACAATGCAAGACAACAAAGGAATGTTCACTGAAATGAGATAAATAGGAATAAAAATAGAGTATTTAAAAACAGAGACCTGTACAATCTGTGTACAATGTATATATACACAGGTATTGCACTGAAGGTTATTGACAAGTCATACTGTCGTGGGTTAAGTGTTAATCAGAGCGACAGTCTGGGGAAAGAAACTGTCACTGTGCCTGGTTGTCTTAGTGCACAGTGACCTGTAACGCCGTCCAGAGGGGAAGAGTTCAAACAGGTTGTGTGAGGGGTCTGTAGTGATCTTCTCCGCCCTCCTTTTGACCCGTGTGGTGTACAGGTCCTCCAGTATTGGCCCACACCAAAGATCATTGGTGTGGGCCTGCCCTCCATGGAGTCTGTACTTGTCCTGTTTGGTTGCTGAGTCAAACCAGACAGTGATGGAGGTGCAGAGAACAGACTCGATGATTCCTCTGTAGAACTGTGTCAGCAGCTCCTGGGGCAGGTCAAACTTCCTGAGCTGGCGCAGGAAGTACATCCTCGGCTGTGCCTTCTTGGTGATGGTACTGATGTTGGACGCCCACTTGAGGTCCTGGGAGATAGTGGATTGCAGGAACTTGTAAGACTACTGTTGATAAAGTGCAGCCAAATATGGTGAGGGGGGGTAAGGAGGGGGGGGCTCTTCCTTAGG